AGTAGAACTTCTATAGACCAGTCATCCTGCTGTATAATAAAATAGCCCAAATTTGCATTGTGCTAAAATAGGTGCCATGATCATCTAAAATCAGCTGGCTAGCAACTTGCAGAGGCCCATGCTATGTTTATATTGTTGCAATAAAAATGGCAATGAGCCCTTTTCCCTTACTAACTGCCTCTTACCAGCCTCCTGACTTCTTTCTTCTGTCATCAAGAGTGATGATAAGATTTCAGGTCTCCCATTTCTCAGAGCAAAGGGCCATGACTCACACACCAGGTTGGAGATGTAGGCCACAGTCTAAATCTCCAATTCCCAGTGATCAATTTAGCAAGTCTGACTTCAGTTCAGCACTTTCTGTACTACTTTCTTTGGGCAATGTCAGTGTCATTGTCACTGAAAGTGTCAGTGACTGTTTCCATCTAGCTTCTCTACATTACAGTCTTTCCTGATACAAGTGTAGGTGGTCTTCCATTAACCAAGGTGTTTCCATTCAAAAAAAGGCCATGGGAATCTTGATCCATTTTCTCCTGTGTCAAGTTCAAAAATATTCCTTTTATACCCGTGTTTTTCACTCTTTTTCTTATTGCTAAACCCTTCCTATATTCCTCTGTGGATGCAGATTCTGCTGTAAGTGTACTGTCATTAGGGTTGCTTTTCTCAGAAAATTAGAAAAGCATGGATGTCGGGAAATTAATCCTGGACCCACACAGATTCACAGACTGCAAGTTAAACCTGCCGTTTTACTGTTATTGGTAAACTAATCCTGGACCCATGTAGATTCACAGATCAAAGGTTAAACCTGCAATTTTACTGTTATTGGGAAACAGCATTTAAAAAAAAAAAAAAAAAAAAAAAGAAAACGGAAAACCAAAATCCTTACGTTAAAATCAGTCTCGGAGCTACCAGATCACACACTGAGAAACAGTGTTTCAGACAGATTTCTGTCTAAGGCTTTGGAAGAACTGACAATTATATGGATTAATTTTTTCTTTACCTAAGTGCTTTTCCACAGTTTTTTCTTCTTTATTATCCTCTTGAAGTGGGATTTTGCATTCTTGCCTCCCTAGAAATACACCTCTAACCCAGAGATTTACCTAATTCATCTTTTCCTATCATTCCAAAAAACATCAGTACTGTTTATGTTGAAATATATTAGTAGAAATATACTTCTCCGTGATAACAAACCCTACTTGTGTTCTTAGTTCAGCAGGTAGCTGTCTTCATTTTCCCATCACTCTGGCAGCTATATCTTCACAATGGCTGTGTCCTAACATGTAAAGTATTCTGGTTTGTGATTGCTGGATGGGATGTCCTACACATTTTTCCAGTCGATGCTCCAAAGATGGTGTCCAGCTTTCATTCTGTTGATTCATTACTGGACAAAGTGAAGGAGATTTCACTTTTCATATCAGTGTGATTACTTCCCATGTGACTTCTTGTCAGCTCTTTTCAACCTGTTAAAGCAGAACAACAAATTGTCCATGTGAGGCCAAGGTTTCTCCAGTTTGTTTGCCTGCTTGAAGATTTGTGGCAGCTATTCTCAAACCCCTCTGTGATATCAGCTCACACAGGTAACTTCCCCTTAGGCTCACACAGGTACACAGAATGTTTACAAAGTTGATATATAGGTTGTTGAGCATCCTGAGTATCTGATAAAACTGTGTAGCTCTGCTTCCAACACCTTACATCTGGCAGAGATTTTTCCAGTGCATCTAGAAAAATCCATGAGCTGCCTCTGTGTTATTAAACAAATAGAAATGATCTTACTTTTTTTTCAGAATATCAGAAACCACAAATAGTTCTACTAATCCTAGTCATGCCATAGTGACCTTAGGCCATTTTTTAAAAATGTTGTTGAGAAATAGGAAGCTCCCAAGTGTAGCTGTTGGAAGGGTTAGACATCCTGTCTACATAGGACTAGATTAATTAGTCTCCTCCAGTTAAGGGAGAGCCAGTGTCTTCAGCTCCCCCCTTCTTAGGTGTTTGTCCTGGGTTGGGATGTATCAGTCTCCCTTGAGGTGTCTGTCTCTCTGTACGGATGAGGGACGGAGCTCTGCTGATATACATGGCTAGGCTCTAGTCCTTTGTATGATTAAAATTAAATATTTTTTTCACCTATTGTAACAACAAGGAATAATTTGTCTAACCTTCTTTCTTCCCAGTAGCAGTTTGGAGGCATTCATTTTTTATCACTTTTAAGTTTCAGACTTTTTTAGTGCATCTATAGTGTATATTACCAGTGGAAATATTATGATATAGTAGGGTCTTCACCACATGCTTCAGTTGTTTTTATACCCATTATTGCTGTGCCATCTTAATGTAATTTTCCGCAGACTCCCATGTTATTAACCTGCATTCATCATTTATATCCTTCTCCTGAGGCTTGTTGTAAGACTCTATAGAAGAAGATAAACAAATTACAGATACAGGAATTAATTGTTGCCTCATTGGAACACCCCAGTCAAGGGATTTTAGCAACATTGGTTGGAGTGAGGCAGCCCATAGGCCACAGTGATGGGAATGGTAGAAAGATGGGTTGAACAGAACTGAAGAAAACGATAAGCAAGAAAACTCACAGATTAGTACAGATATAAAAATGGAAGCCAGGGAGGGTGGTAAAATTACTGTAGATCTCCAAGGAATGAAGTTTTGCAAGACAGATGTTAAATATTCCTTCCAGCAAGGTTTGCTCGCTGCTGCTCACACAGTCTTTTCTACAAGCCATGTCATCTCTGCTGAGCTCTTTCAGCAGCTCTGCCTCTTCTTTCTCTTTGTTTCCCTGCCCATGTAGAATTAGGCATAGAAATCCCCACTCCCTCTGGAGGGGTCAAAATGTCTCAATCTTTCCTGCCAGACCCTTTCTGGCCCCTGATCCCAGACCAATCTCCACCCCAGGATGGCTGCCCAAGCCCTGGGGGAGGGCAAGGAGAGCGAGGGGAAAAGGAAGAAGGACCACAGTGCCGAAAAGGAAAGTGGTGTTAAAACAGCAGTAGAGAGTGGAGGAAAAAAGGACAGAAGGGCAAAGTGAGTTCAGAGAAATGTGAGGGCACATTAAAATGACTGTGTATATTAAAGAAGCATATGGTGCCTTGAACCACAGGAGACCTGTGTTGTGCTACAGTGGGTAATGACAAAGAGTAACAGACTGTCCCTTTCCCTGAAAATCATGTGGTTGAAATGGATAAAATACATCAGAGGGAAGAGGAGTGACTGGCTCAATGCCCAACAGGAGCTCTGCATCAGAGCCACCGGCAGCACCCAGGCTAGTCCCAGCCAGATATGCCAGCAGCGAGACAGGGGAAAACCTGGGAAATGGGAGACAAATAGCTGTGGTGAGGCAGAGAGTATGAAAACGGCAAGGGAAGGATGCAAAATTTGGCTCCAGAGAGAGTCGGGTTTACTAGCCTGACCTCAAGTGTACACAGAGCCCATAAGAGGGTGAGAGCATGACTGAGTTCTTTGCTTGGAGCAAAACTAGCAACTGTGAAAGAAATGGGAAAGAGGCAGGCAGACACAAAAGAGAAGAAAGCTGTGGAAGAAAGGAAAAGAACATGAAAACACTATCCTCAAAACCAAGGCAGACATGCCAGCCATATTAATTTCCAGTGCAAATGCCCTTCCTCTGCTGCAGCTCAGTGAGGGATCTGACCACAGTTAAGTTTAAATTGTGCCTTTTAAATAATAATAATAAGAAAAAAAAAAAAAAAAACATGGTCAAGAAATAAAAGTCAAAGGCTTAGCTTAATTCTGCAGGAAAAACATAAGGAGAAGCTTTGCATGGAGGTGAATGTGTTCTCTGTCTAAGGAAGAGATTTGTGGGTGGTTTCAAGCAATTTCGGTGATGGAACTAATAATCCTAAAAAACAATATCTTCAGTTATGTTCTACAGTTATTTTTTAGCCACAGCTATCAATCACACTGCTTTTCAAATAAGATAAGTGTCAGTATCTCTGTTCTGTAGAGGTAGCAGAGAGAGGGGAAACAGCTTGCCCATAGCCAGCCAGTATCAGTAAAGACCCCCATCAACAGGGTCTCAGCCTGGCCCGTGCCTCCCCTGTGTCCCCTGAGGGACTTTGGTGTTGATCTGCTGGTGTGACAGAAAGTCAGGTCATGAGAATGAGGTCCCATACCCCATTCAAAACCACAGGAAAGATTCCCATTTGCTTTGATTGGTGTGTGGCCAAGTGGTCATTTTTATGCCAGCGAGCTGAGGTAGATTATGGGTATCTGTACTGGAAACATGCACTGGAATAACTAACTGCATAGGCAGAAGTCAGGTTCTTCAGCTTGATTCTAATCATTAAGTGTATAACAGGGAGGAAGAATTTTATGCTTCGGACAATGATATCTAAAGTCTGAAATATATACCTCTCTCTTTAATTTTTGCCCTGTAGATAGAAATTAAATCTACGCATAATATCAGCAACAAAAATAACTGGAAATTAGGAAGATGTTTCCCCCCACTTGTGGAAACATAACTTCTACAAATTCTCTTGTACCTTCCCTTGCAGCATCTTGTGCTGGCCACTCTCTGACACAAGATGTTGAACTAGATTGGACTTGGGTGCAGTCCAGCCTGCAAATGTCTGTGTTCCTAAATAAGTTGTGAAGTATTCTCACATTCTGCTTCTCAGCCTGCATAGAAAAGCCCAAATAAAGCATAATCTTCTCCTTCGAGAAATCTCACATTACATACTTTCTTATATTCTGAAGCAAAATTCCTTTCAATGCTCTCTTCAAAGCACTTGTACTCCCAACAATGGTTTTGTAATGTGCTTATCAAGGCTTCTCTTTCCCAGTGGAGAGCCACAGTTAATTACTACAGTCACAGAGTGTTTGCAGCAGTGGTTCTTAAACACCCTGCTGTCCTCAAATGTGTCTGGTTGATTCATTCTTGAAATGACCACCTAAAAGAACAGAGTGCGTAGAGATGCTCCAATTGTTTTGCATATTTTAATATGGGACCATTTATCACCTTTCCTACTTCACATTTGCAGTTTGTTAGACCAGAAACACAGAAACAGAAGATGAAAGCACAGCCTTTGAATTCCATCATCCCATGGAAAAAAGTGCTACAAATGGACGACAGATAAATAAAAGTTATTTGTTTAGAAACCAGAGAGGCCAGATTGGTCCACGGATGAAATTGTTCATTTTCATTATCTCTTTAAATTCAGGTTAGTGTTGTTTTAATATACTTTTTGCAATTACAAAAGAGGTTGTGTCTTTTATTATATGCATGTAACTTGCTTTGCAGAAGGTAAATATCTACATTCCTTAATTGACACTGTTTCAAACAAACTACATAATGAATAATCAACATGTACAGTTCACTGTAGAAAAATGCACTGTCCCAATGCTCCAGCAGGCAGAATCCAGGATCTGAACCACATCTAAAGAGCTAACAGGAAAAGACGTGGCCGGTTATGTTTGAGGGTCAGGCATAGAGCTGCTGCCCTATATAAGAAGCTGGTAGATAATGGATCCAACCTTGAAAAAGTGGTGAGCAGCCTAAATTTTCATATAGTTCTGTGGGAATGATGAGGGAAAAATCAAGTCCACATAACCAATAGTCTTAAGCAGAAAAATCCTCAAGGGGATCTTTAAGCTGTGGATTAAGCTGTGGAAGCTGGGAAATTTATTAGAAAAAAACAAACCACTAAATGTTTCCCTGATCTTGTATTTTATGCGCTTCCGTGCCATTTAAGGAATTGTGTAACATACAAAGGAAGAGGACAAAGAAAAACAACCACGACTCTAAATTCATATAACAAGACACAGCAGAGAAAGCAATCAGCAGTATTCATCATCTTCAGTTCATCCAATTTACACCTGATGTAGAGCTGACTCTTGTAGGAAAAGAAATACCTGGAAGCTATTGTCCAGTCACGTTAGGTATTACATTCCCTCCACACAGACCACCAGTGGCCAATACATTGATTTTACAATCAGTCCAAAAGCAACATCTTTAACACCATGCTGGATTATTCCCCAGCTCTGACTCAGGGAACTTTTCTTCTAGGTCTTGCTTTTTCCTTGGAGACCTCTCCATCTAAGCACTGACCAAGCTCAACCTGCTTTAGCTTTTGAAATATGACAAGGTAATAAATCACAGCTGTGGGCGAGTGGGGCAGCTGTGTTATTGCAGTTTAGCAGGAAGGCTGCTATACAGTGCCATGCCAGCTTCTCACTTTGCAAGCAGCTGTGTGTATGTCCAAATCATACCCTGCGGTCAATAGACAGGATCGTTCCTGTGTGCCCAGACCCCAGAGGGCGATGGGGATTGGACACAAGTAGTCAGGCCACAGTTACAGTAACAGATTTTCAAAATTAACCTGAATACCATAGACTTCTCAAACAGGCCATAGGACTCCATAGATACCACCCTCCACAGCCAAGCTCCTGCCTCAGGTGTTGGTAACCTGTCTCCTGCCCTGTGATCCTCCAGGCTGGAGGCAAGCAAGCAGGAAAGCTTCAACAGCACTGCGCTGCAGCAGTGAACAAGCCCCATGAAACAGTCCCCATGTTCAAAGATGCTACAGCGGGCGCATCTGCTGCCCACTCCGGCAGTCTTTCCTCTCCCACACAACCCTGGAAGCGTTGCACTTCTCCTCAGACCACTCCTCTCTTGTTGAGAAATAAGAAACTTCAGAGGTTTGGTACTAAACACTGGAGGAGTCATAGGGTGACTTTCAGATGAGTTTAGGGGATTTTCATCCAGCAGATACAGGGTATCAGACAGTGGAGCTGCTTTGCTGCCAGGCTCCTCCCAGGGGAACTCGGTCTCTCGCTAGCAGACCTCTGCCCAGCAGACCAGCTCCCTGCTGAAAAGAGGAATCCTCTTCCAGGCACTTGCAGCCAGTGTACAGCTGCTGCAACAGTTTCGAGGGAAATCTGGCCCTCTGCTGCCAGCAGCAATTTATGCACATTTGCAGGTGTGACACATTTGCTTCACATGACCTCTGGGAAGGCAAAAGCATTGCCTTGAAAGTGTGTCAGTGATACCACTTAGCACTTACATTTTCTACTTCAAAGTGTTCTACCAATATTAATGAAGTGAGCTTAAAAATAAGAGCTGAAAACACCCTAATAATATGAAAATACTGCCCTGGAATAAGAAGTCAAGAAAGCCATTATAAAATGAGGACTTTTTTTTTTATTATTTCTTTCTTTAATGAGCTGTCTTTGCCCAATCTATTTTAAATGTAGCTCATCTGTTTAGCTGAAACCCTCCAGCCATTTCTTGATAGTACTGTGCTGTGAAATATAGCAACTCGGCATGTAAAATTTCAGTTCCTGTGACCCTGGTGGCCTGGGAGAATATAGTACTCTATTTAGGAAGATCTTCAATTACTCCACATATCACTCCAGACTATTTTTCTAGATATGTAAATGTATGCTACAGAGTCCCTCAAAGATAGATTCAACCCCTGTTTTGAAGTTCTGGGAATGAAGGACTCAGCTGAGATTTGACTGGGAGACGTAGACAGTTGGAGGTGCAATTTTCTTCTGAAAGCATCATCAGGACACACGTAACTGTGAACAGATCAGATGATAGGTTTGAACAAAGCAGGCAAAATTGTCAAATCCAGACGTCTTTTAAGCTAGTCTCCCGTTGCTTTTAATAGGGTTAGGATTCTGCCTGCTGGCCTGAATTCCCAGCTCTACACTGAATTTACTGTAGTAGAAATCCCTTAATCTCTCTGATCTTCCTTCTCTCTGTGCTCCTCCCTATCTTCTCATCTGCAGATAAGGATGATACTAAGGTCTGCCTCCATGGGTGTTACAAGAACTAATTAACTGAGCTTTCAGAGAAATTTCAGCAGCAAAGGAAAATTTCTCATCTGGAGGTGAAATACACATACACACACCTGTATAGATATAGATATTTGTCTGTATAGAGACACAGATATAGATATAAAAGCCATACCTACCACCTGCCAGACCTTTCTGAACATCAAGGCTCTTCTCTTTGCCTTGTCTTTCTGTTACAATCCCACTATTTTTAAATGCTGGGCTCTATTCCCAGTCAGTGTGGGAATGTCAGGCAGGTAGTTGTTAAAAAAAAAAAAAAAAAAAAAAAGCCTTTGCCTTCTCTTTTTTTTAATAGCATTTTTGTTCTGTTACCATTGTTCCTGCCAGTCAGAAAAACTGCTTGGTTTTTAATGAAAAATCCAAACACCAACAAATTGCAACCCTGCCTTTCAACACAGACATGCCCTTTGAATTTAATTATGCCTCAGGCAATGCATTATAACAGGCATGCGATAAGTGACACCAAAATCTTACAATAAACACAGAAAATATCCCCCACCGGGTAAAAATAATTCAGTACCAGATTGCCTCATTTGGTACCAAGTCACTCAGGGCCGGAGTCTGCCTGATTTACCCCATCTGGGCTGAGATGTTGCAGCTTGGCCCCACTGATGCCAGTGGAACTGAGCCCCTTTATAGCTGCTGAGGGTCCGCTCACTGCGCACCCCTCAGTCTCCAGCTCTGGCAGGAAGGGATGGCTGCAGGAAAACGTTAACCCCAAGGAAGGCGTGGAGGACCCTGTTCTGGGGCAGGGACATTCCTGGTGGGGTGATTCAGAGCACCCAGCGGGAGCTGAGAGGAGCTGGGGGCAAAGGAAGCGGAGGAGTTTGGGAGGTTTCCTTTCCTCCCAGAATAATTTCTCACAAGCTGTGTCAACTATCTGCAGTTAAACAAATACTTGAAATATCAACATTTCCCGTTTGGAGGGAGAGGCAGCACCAGTTACCTTTGGTTTTGTTGTCTTGGGAGCTGCAACAGTCAGTGGGAGGACACTGCCTGGGATTTTTTGTATGTTCGCAGAAGAAAATTTCCATTGAAAACAAACACCCACAGCCCTGCCTGTAATGCAACACCAGGGTCAAGCTCTGTCCTTTGCATCCTTTTGGATGCTAACATGGGATAGTGTTATTTAGATCTTGTGATGGCCAGTGACTCTCAGGCTGCAGCAAATCTACGTTTGCCAGCTCTTTGGCAATGATGGTGGTGCACAGTTATTGGGTCTGCTTATTATCAGGATGTAAAGTATTCATATGTATGGGGAGACAACAGTCACAGATGCTTCTTGACTGCTGGTGGGCAAATATCAAGACAAATTCCACCTAACCTCAAAACCCAGGAAGGGCTCTGTCTTTCATTCCCTTTCTCTTCTACACAGGTGCCTTGGCTCACTGACATTTTATAAGAAAGACAATTTTTCAAATTGTATATCAGATATAGCTGCTCTGGGTTTGAAGATCCTTGCTCATGTCAGGGAACTGGATCCCTGCAGTGGTGCAGCTCTCTCATGAGCTTCTGCAGTACCTGTTTTCATTGAAGTTTTAAAGATGAAAGACAGATAGTGCTTTATAGAAGAGAGGGCTGGGATGCACAATCAAGTTATTTGTTTTAATGTGTTTCTGTGCAGCAGCTGAGCCACACCAGCCAGCTGGGTTCATACCTTCAGCTTGTGGTAAATGCAGGATTTAAATTACACATTATCATGGCCTGAGTATGTCTCTGGTTAGATAGTCACAATAAATCATTCACTTTCTTGAGCACAATAACTCCATCACATAAGTGAGGCCTCCAGATACTTAAATGTTTAATTCTTGATTTCACCACTAACTTGCCCTGCAACCATGGGTCACATAACCTTGTTAGGTTTCAAACTTCAAGTATAAAATGGATATAACATGAGTGCTTACTCAAGAGGGTATTGTAAGGATAAATACAATAAAGCCTGTGAGGTGTTGAGATCTTCTGAATACCTCAGCTGGTCTGAAGGACATTTTACACACACCATTCTGTTAAGAGGAATCAGAACAACGGTGCTTTACTTTTAATCACTCGCAGGGCTCCTCACTATTTATACAGCTGTGGAGCTGATAAACAATTTAGAGTCTTGTCTTTTGCTGCAGTAAATAGAAACCAACAGGGCCACATTGCTCTACAGGAACCAAGAGGATGGACTTCTTTGCTGCATGTTTTAATGCAAACCTGCAAGTCACAATTCTTGAACCAAAATATTTTCAAGTGTATTTCCTTTGAAAGATGAAATTTTAGGAGCTACTGTCATATATCCTGCATAAACAATGTGAAGGATAACATCAAACATTTGGAAAGTGTGCAAGTACACCAAAGGGAAATATGGTGATTTACTGAG